ATCTTACCATACATTTTTAATATGAAAGGACCTGGGACCGCGTTTTTCCGCTCAGTAAGCAAGCCACTGCAACCGACGATCTTTCAAATCCGAAAACTAAAAGCTACGAAAGAGTACTTACGCCTTCATTAAGATTCCACTTTCACGATACGTTCAATGTTTCGATTTACTCTTTACGCATTGTTCAGGCAATCATAACAAGCTATGACCGACGTGAGGATTGTTTAAGCTCTGGTTAAAAAAGCTATACAAATGAAATTACATTCTCGAATTTCACTTGGTATCTGATGAATAATATAAATACGCAATAATTCATATAGTTTCAGCGGCTGATGGTTAATTTTAAATATACTAACGGTACTGCCTACGGCGACTACGGCGGCGCACAGTGGGGCAGCGAAGCCATTCGTGTGGCCAAAACCTCTAGCGCCGTTGGTTTGCTTTCTACAGCGATACAATGTTCTACAAAGTTGCTCAACACTAAAAGCGCCATCTTTTGAAAGTTTCATTGAGTCCGTTCGAGTCTATCTTTTGAACGGAGCATCCTAGCCGAATTGGTATGGCGAGGAGGCTCAGGAAACCAGAAATAAAGACTTCATAAACTTTCGGGAACGATACAGTCGCAAAACAAGTCGAAAGGACACTATGGAGGACGTTGGAGGATGGACATTTTAAACCAGCAGTTTTAAGTCTCCTAGTAATCTAATCATGCATCTATTGCATTCATCCATAACATCTTATCATGTTTTACACACAAAGAAACATTTCAACAAATTTGAAAGAATTTACCATATGCAATATTTAAATGATGTTATATGAAAATGTCTGTAGTTGCCTGTTGAACTGTGGTCGTTATTTTACCCAGCAAGGTCTACACTAATCACTGTAAAAAAAATGGCTGCTACTTTTTGCTATATTTTGAGTAATTGACATTTTTATGCATCACTTTTTTGAGACATTTATGGTAATAACTGTATAATAAAGCATGATATATAAAGTAATGGGTATTTATTGGATGAGTCAAACCATTTTGATAATTATCAGAGTATAAAACTTATACATTTGACGTATATAGGTGAAAAAAGGAAAAAACTCCATTTTATAGGTTAGTTTTCCTAATTGCCCAATATCTCGCTAAATGTGAGTCATAGAGTTTCAATGTCTTGGACAACATTTCTCAACACTTCAAATTACACAACTTTGCCGTAAAACCATTCGGCTAGGATGCTCCGTTCAAAGTATAGACTCGAGCGCCTAATATAGATAGACCTATGTGGCGTAAAAATGAACTAATATGAAACTTTCAAAAGATGGTGCTTTTAGTATTGAGCAACTTTGTAGAACATTGTATTGCTGTAGAAAGCAAACCAACGGCGCTAGAGGTTTTGGCCACGCGAATGGCTTCGCTGCCCCACTACAACGACGACACAGCGAATTTGTCTAGTATATAACACCTTTGCCCGGCAACTCCACTTGAGCTTCATGTCTGCTATCTGTCACTGTTTGCAAAAAATATCTAATAGCAATTACCTTTGTTGTAATACTTCCTTCAACAAAAACAAATTTTCTGGCATTACCATGGTCATCTGAAAGGAGGTTCGCGGCTAGTGCTTTCCCCAGGAACCGTTCACGGCCACCAGCTACCGCCCGTCCAGTCATGCGCGTATCCAGCGAGGCATCCTTCAGCTTGCTCACAATCTCCGACACTGGCGACAGACCAGCAGACGAGCACTTTTGCAAGCCGTAAACTCGCTGATTCACGCACTTCAGCACTTTTCCCGGCTAATTTACCAACCGGACGGTACTAAAACTCGCACAAAATCAACCGGGAATGCACGAATTTCACTTCACGCAACTGCGAAACACGTCCAGAATGTACACTTTCGGTATCAATTTCGGTCGAAAACACTTAATATTTTGCAAAAATAGTTGCTAGCGAACCTTACAGCGCGTAAATAAACTGAAATAAAAAATTATCACTCGCGATGCCACAATTTTCTGGTCCGGGAGAAAAAAAAACTCAAACAACGCAGATAGCGACATCTCTTCTGATGCTTGCAAACATGATGAATCACGTTTTCGTTCTCGATTCTAAAACTTCCCGGAAAGCGAGAAAACCACCAATCACACACGTATAACCGTCCCAGAGGCAGAGTACCAGCGCTAATCCGGCAAATGCAGCCGAAAACTATGAAAGCGAACGCACGCACAAAACAGAGAGCAAACTTAAAACACAACCGCATCCGAAGGGGTTCGAAACTGCACTCACGTGATGGAGGATGCTTATTGGATATCGGAAGATAAAGTGTTTATTACGTTGTACGTTTCGATTATAGTTTTACGATGTTTTGTATGGTGGACAAGAATCTCTAATCAAAATAATCATAAAAAAGAGGTTAACGACGTGTTCGAGGTATCATCCAAACCCATCTGGGATACAGTTCGTTTATGGTAATTGTTTATTAGGGATCATCGACTCTGTAATGTTAATTCGATTGAGCCTTATCAAATAAATGAATAAACAAACAAACAATAGTTCTTCATTTTAACAGCTTTGAAATTGAAAGCAACCGTCTATCTAGTCGAGCTGGTAAGTAAAATCAAGCAATTAGAAGTCACCTGTCAAACACAAACGCCGCCTGGTGAGGGAACTCAGAACTGATCCGTCCACCATTTTAAAGGTTTTGTCTAGATCTAGAGTGGATCGAGTATAAGAGAGGAGTGAATTCAAACAAACTAACTGTCTTGACAACCTACAGTGGGATAACGGCGCCGGTGGTGTAGTGGTAAGCGTGATTACCTCTCACCCTAGCAGGCCTAGGTTCAATCCCAGTCGGCGCCGCCGGGATGTTCTGAGGCATAACATCTCTGATCACGCCTTCCTTCGGATGGGAAGTAAAGCCGTTGGTCCCCGGTTCATGAGTTGATGAGTCGATAGGTAGGGTATGGTCCAGGTGTGGGAGCTGTCTTCCTGGCACGTCGGTAGCATTGGTGCTCAGCACGGAAAACAAGATCGACGGAAAAAACAAACCAAAGGAAAAAAAAGAAACCTACAGTGGTGGCCATTAAAATAGCACAATAGGCCGATTTTCATACAAACTTACCAACTTTGGCATGTTGCAACTATGTTTTGTTATGATCAATTGAGCTGAAATTTTGACACATTTATAATTCGAAATTTCCGAAGTCTATTATTTCGGAAATTTTTAATTATAAATGTGCTATTTTATTGGCCATTATCAACCAACCCGTCAATTTCCGGCAAGCGCTTCCAATAATTTGATATCAAGTACACGCAAAATTCAGCACATTTTTAGTTCTGTGTCAAAATTTCAGCTCAATTGATCATAACAAAACATAGTTGCAACATGCCAAAGTTGGCTAATTTGTATGAAAATCGGCCTGCTATTTCAATGGCCACCACTGTATGCCTAGATGATTTTTCTAGCAACACTGCCAATGTAATCAAGATAGGTGCTGCTCGATTTGCTCTGGCTTTGACAGTTCGTTTGGTTTTTTCCTCTGTTCGGGACCTAACACTAATGCGACCAGTAAATTGATCGATTGTAGTATATCCCGTGTCCTTAGTTTAGTGCATGTCGTATTACTCCATCACTATTGAGAAATGATGAAGCATTCGATTTTTTTGCAGTTGCCACTCTTGCATTTATCGCAAGGATCCGAGTCTAATTGAAAGGTCCCGCTATTTATACCCTTCGAAGTGTTGAAACACACTCCAAAGGCGCGCCCCTTTGTCAGTCAAAATTGGATTCCTTAGCAACAAAATTAAGGTATGACACCGAAAATGACCATGCATCAGAACCCTAGTCTTAACCACTTCAAACTAGGGAACAACGAAGAGAAGATTAGGAATCACATAGATGAAGACAACTAACTCATTTTTTGCCTTGTTTCAAGATCATCCTTGGTAGACAAAGCCGAGTCTTGTCACTATCAACAAGGCATAAAAAGTAACAAGGACTAAGATGTGTTCCTTGGATTACTGAAAAATCCTGTTCCCCTAGTTTGAAGTAGTCGGGACTAGGAATCGGTGGTAGATCTTACATCCCGTAACGTACCACAAAAAAGTGATCTACCCTAGTCCTTGGACGGGACTTGAAAATCGGGTAGGGAACTCGAACCAATTTGCTGTCAAATGCGAGCCAATTGCTGATTGGTCCATTTGACAGTAGCAATCGTCCAGTAAAAATGAACAGAGAGATCACAGCATACTTAAGGTATCAGTACACGAGACAAATATTTGTCTTAATTTGACAGATACATTAAATGTATCTGTCAAATTAAGACAAATATTTGTCTCGTGTACTAATACCTTTACTGACACTGATGCCGGAAGCAATGTTGACGTCAATGGCGTTGTTAGTTGTTTATAGTTGCGATAGTAAAGTTGAAAAATTAAAAACACTGCGTGTTTTAACTGCTTCTGTTGTTTGTTTATGGTTGTTTTATTGTGTTGAGCAGAAATGATGTACAAGGTGCTGAACTGCGGTAGAAACATCGAATCAAACCCAAATTAAAATAAAATAAAACATTCTTCAATTCTGGCATCATTGGTCAACTCACCGTCAAACACCACGTCAAAATTTTTTGAATTTTATTCATCAAAAACAGTAAGAAGAGTGAGAAGCTTGCCATGAATAACATCTCGGTTCATCTACTGTCAGCTTATTTTGACACATAGCTGCTCTAGGGTGGTTGGTTCAAATTTTCGATTTTACTCCACCAAGCTCAATAGATTGTAAATCAGGGGCCTCATTGCGTAAGTCGAAACGAAGCATTTTTTTGTATAAACGCTTGTATGAAAAAGTTTGTCGTTTCGACTTGTGAAATGAGGCCCTCAGGTCCGATTGGTTGCGATCGCAAAACACCCGCTGTATTGGGCCTACTCGAACATGAATTTCTTTTTCTATCTGGGAGTCAATTCTACAAAAACAAACAATGCTGTGTTTCATTTCAAACTGGTGATGCAAATTGGCTAATAATTTATTTTTCATAAAGAATAAAATGGGCTACTTCTGGTGCTGGAGTTCTGCATTAGGGGTGCGGTGCAATACCCGAGGCAGATCCCGTATTGACGGATGTCACAGAGCTGGTGTGTCCTGGCAGCGGGGCCTCGTGTATCGCGGATGGCGTCTGTGCGATGTAGACTGCATCGACCGGGAGTGGAGGTGGCGGTGGTGGTGGTGGTCCATATTGGGTGTAGCTCTGGGCGACCGTGATGTCATGGGGAAGTGGGAAAGGTGATGGCGGTGGGACTGGCACTGGCAGTGGTAGTGGTGGTGGTGGTGGATGCAGGCAGGATTCGTCCAGCGAGTGGTAGACAACCGAAGCCGGTGGGTTGAGAGAATCCCTTGGGAACAGGAACGAGTACACCCGGTTCGGAAGGACTACCGAGCCGATGCCATTCTTCTTAGCGCCGGTCTTTCCTGAGAGGCCAGTGAGACCGGTTAGACCACTCAGCCCGGATAGGCCGGCCACCTTTGCAGTTAAAGTTGGCAGGACATATCGAAGGAACTTCTTCGTCAAAATCAGCGGCTTGCCGGTAGTCATCGTAGCGCCCGCCAGCATCACAATTAAAACAACCGTCAGCTGAAAGTGTATCGAATAGAAAAATGTATCATCCTGTTACACTTCTCGTAATTAGATCACTGATACTTACTCGCATTATGGCTGAACTATCGTATCGTATCCTGCGTACAGATGAGAGATGTTTGCAAATGGAGCTACAAAAGCTGTGTACTGCATTTGGAAGACTACCATCAACTTATATACCTGCCAAGAGCTTCTGCCCAAGTTCCAGGTCTTCTAATGCGACCGGTTGCATTTTTGCCAGTTTTTAGATTCTGTTGACCTCTAAGTTCAAATGGGACCACTGAAGGTTCGGCTGAATCTTATCGCGCGAAAACAAGTTACTGCATATACTGCGATCAAATGCCCAACAGCAGCAGCAGCGAGGGCCATGTGCGATCATGGCTCACAAGTGCGAATCTGTCAGCATTCCTTACGCAATATCGGACCGATCGCTTATCATCAATAAATTCCAACATTGACAGTGCTTGTTGTTATTGGCACCGCTGACAAACGGAAATGACTCGAGGCGATTTGATCAGCTGTTTGCGTTCTCTGCGTACATACGATAGAACCATATTTTTTTTGTGAAATCAAAACCCCAGCTAGTCACACTAGGCAGAGTAGGCAAATATATACAAATGCTGATAAGAAAGGGTGCGCTCCGGAACGCATTACGGTTCAGCGGTTACTAATAACTCCACATGTCCGCTGCCACAAAGAAATGCTACTTCCAAAGCACGGATTGATCGCGTGCTAGTCACACGTCGTTTGTGATTCGATGATCGTGGATGCTGCGCAGATATTCGTAGCCAAGTGTTAAAGCCACTCACTCGCAGATGGTGATGATGATCATGATGCGGCTGATGGTGGATTGGTTAAGGTTGTTTTCTTTCTGGTCTCCTTTCGCCACTATGCCAAGGAACCGGTGCCGTGTTGTGGGGTTTGGTTGTTCGGGTTTGGGTTCGATTAGCGCTGACCAGCGGCGGCGGTGGCGTCTGGTAGTGAAAGTTGATACTTTGTAACGACCAGAAGGCGCCAGTTGTTTGGAATACTGGTTGCGCTGCTGGCATCGACGGGTAACGTTGTCGTTGTTTTTGTTTTGTTTTGAGGATTGGGTTGAGGATCGATCGAGAATGGAAACATGTTTGGTGTTGCAATGAGGTTGGTTTTAAACAAAGTTGGAAGCAGGTCATTTTTGTATTATTTTATTGAAAAAAAAAATCGAATAATATTGTCGAATTCTCGGATGGCACTGATGATGATTGTAATTTGTTATCGAAATGCGTATCGTATCTGTCATGGATACAAACTACTAAGCGAAGTTAAATGCCAACTAATGACTTTTCAATTTTAAAAACATTGTGAGATGTTCGTGGAACATATCCAAGAGGTTTGTAAATTAACGACCAATCTTGGAAACTTTTCCAGATACCTTAAATACATGCAGGGTTGGTAGCAGGTCACTTTTTGTTGGCTGGGTCCCTATTTTCAAGTCAGTCTAAAGTCACTGAATTAGAAAATACCAAGAAGGTATATCAGCGAAAAATTCCAATGGAGATGGAGTGCTGATTACAATTCCCATTAAAGTTAAGAGAAGTGTTTTGGGTAGCTCTGAGGGAAATTCCATATTGATTGTGAAGAGGATTGCTGGTCCTTTTGTTATGAATATTCTACAGGGTGATTCGGAATAACTCTCAATTTTAAAAATAATCAACGATTGAACGCTAGCATTAAATTTTGATATCGGTATATTCCGCACGCTTTAGTTTCAGCACTTTTTGAGTTCTGGCGATGCGTCTAAGCTCTGATTTTCCAAGCAGTGTTTCTTTGTACCTCTGTAATGATGCGAAAAATAAATGTTTAATCATGGTGTCGACTACCTGAAAAAACCTGGAAAATCAGGGAATATCAGGGAATTCATTTTTGGACCTGGAAAATCAGGGAATCTCAGGGAATTTAATTGAAATTCAGGGAAATATTTCTTAATCACAGAAGTTTGACAAACTTTGCTAGTTCAAACAAATTAATTACTCGGTGTAGTTTGAGGATGATTTAAAATTTTAAGTATAGTTGCGAGTTTGAGGCTGCTCAATGCTTGATGTGGCATTTTTGCAAGTTGAGCAAGAATTACTAAAATAAAAGGGTATTTTAATGATTTTGCGCCTAATATAAATTCAGCTCCTACTGGGTGTTGACACATTCCTGAGTTAAACTGAGATCCTGAGGGTTGATAAAAAAATCTTTATTGAATCTATATATAGATGTTGTTATTTGTTGCAAAATATATCCTCCAAATGGGTATGTGCGTCTCTTAATGTCACGACTGATTGCGTCTGACGTAGATCCTTTGGGTGCATTGGAGCGCTTTTTAACAAATTCAAGACTGGTACAGAGTTAAGATAAGAAGGTCACTTGTGGTTCTTGTTCCTTATTTTGTTTTTTACAGCTGGACTAGCTCAGAGAATAAACTAAATGAGAATTTACGATAATGGCCTTGGAATAGCTCTTTTATGATTGAATAATAATTCAAGAAACGCATACTAACATTGCCTCGAGAGCATAGAGTGGCGTTATTCAGTATTCTAGTTCTTATCTTCTCAATGAAGTTTTAGTATTTCAATTGCGATGAAATTAAGCTACTGAATTTTAGAGGTGAAAGCCGTTGTTTTTACGATTTCCCACCATAGGAATCTGCCCGTGAATTAGCGTATTGTTAAGCGTATTGCAGCTGGATCTCAAATACTCAAGGGAGAAAATTACAAAGGGATTAAAGACAAGTGTTTCATATGCAAGATGTAGGAGAACTGTGTAAATTTTTGCCCCTAGCGTTGATTGAAAAAGTTCACGATATTTCACGAAAAATTGATGGTGAATATTTTCAAAACTGTTTCTAAGGGTGAGAAAATCGCCATGCCAAGGACCTCTTCTCATATCATGAAGTTAATCGAGCAAATTTGCTGCAGGAAGCCTTGTTTGTAGATTGATATCGAGATGGTTGCTGGTTCCTCCACACATCACTATTAATCATGAATTTGAACCTGGCGCTTACAATTTATTAATTTAGAAAAATGCATTTTTGGCAACACGCGATTACTGTCTTTTTTGCATCCTATAAAATGTATCGAACGTTTTATTCAACTTGAGATTGTACTGGACCAGTCTTCATGGGTTAGAGGTCCATGTGGTATTTCATGAAAAATGATCAAGAAAGCACACCCAACAGCCAAAGATTTCCTTATGCAGCTAATGTGTGCCTATATAGGCTAGTCTGCAGCTAGAATTGTTTGTTGGGTAGTACATATCTGAGGAAAGTAATAACTGATGAGGTCGTGTTGACCACCAACCATTGAGACATCGTACCTGGATTTTTTTTTAAATTTCTGGAAAATCAGGGAATATCAGGGAATTTGGTTTTCTTCATTGAGTCGACACCCTGTTAATTCTTTCGAAGATATTTCAGTTCCTAAAAGATAACAGACGATTTTTGACATGCTCCATTTTCACGCCCATGGCTGATATTTGTACACTTTTTAAAACAAAAATACTTGAACATATACTGGAAATGTCTCTAATGTTGGCCTATGGATCTAAGATTGGGCCCATCGCTAAAAATCTGCTATTTATCAATTTTATCTAGATGAACGCGTTATTGGGACGTTACTAATGGATATTTTTGGTTGCTATTGAAAATTTAGACAATTGCTGAATTTATGTACGGGCGCAAATTATGGACACTTAGGCCGACATTACCTGCGTTTCCCCTACCCATTTTACCCATTGAGAATTGCATATATGTGAAATCGGTTACAGTTATTCTGAATCACCCTGTAAATAAATGCTGAGATGAATTTTTAGAGAGTTCTGACGAGATTTCCATGCCAATTTCTCGGGTATTGAATTCTGAGTAGTGTTTCCATTTCGTAGCGAGTCACTTTTTAGTGACTTGGTAACTTTTTTCAAGTCAGTCATTAAAAAGTCTCTTTTTTTAAGGCCAAGTCACTATAGTCACTTTTTCTTGTAATAAGTATTTTCAACTTTTTTAGCGTGAATTTATTTCGGGATTGATTATTCTTTGCGTTGTGACGTTTAATCGTCTTTCTCTATATAGAGGATGTCTACTCATTTTTCTGGATAAAATTACCTGAGTTTTCCAAGTAAGTAAGTCCAAGATCTAAAAATATTCAATGTCTCGAAGTTTCGTATTCCATGTACCAGTTCAAGGTATTGAAAATGTTCAAAATGCCAGAATTAAGTAAACAGTAAATGATTTATTTCAAGTTCGCAATTAACTTCATGAAATATTAGAGATCAAAGGAAATGCTGAGGATTTCAGTGAAGCTCCATAAAAAAATCTGCGAGAACATAAGGGAAGTTAACCCGCTGAAAATAAGGGAAACTTACTGGAAGCTGTAAGAACCTCAAAGCGGTCCTTTTAGAATCCAAGACTTTTTTGGGAATTTTTATGAAGTTCCTAGAATTTCAGACAACTTCACAGGTGTCAAGCAAACTTGAGAAATTTAGAAAACTTGAGGGGTATTGTGCAAATTTTTAAGAAGTTCTAAGCACCTCAGAAAAGCTAGATCTAGAAATCTTTGGGAAATTTCAGATCTTAAGATAAGTTCCCGTAACTATAGTCCAGCCTTTTGAACCAGTTTAAAATCTATAATCGTAAATTTATATAAATTCAAGATAGTTCCATGATGTGCTGAAAAACAAATCGAAACCCCTTAAGATGTTCCGCGAATTTCAGGGAAGTACAGAGACCTTCGGAGAATATTACAGAAACTTCACAGAAGTCCATAGAATTGCAGGGAAATTTAAAGGTGTTTACGGAAATTCTATTTATTTCCGAGCAGAGCCGAGATCTTCAATAGAACTAAGAGCTTTATGGAAGCTCTCTTCTTCATCAAGACAGGTCAGAAAATCAAAGGGAAGTTCAAATAATTTCAAGGAAATATTAGAAAACTTAAAGGAGTTTCGATAAACTCAGTGAATTTCCGAAAACTTCAGCAAAGCCCGGATATTTCTTTCCACTTCTGGTAGAAGCTTCCAACAAAATCCCACGGAAGTTTCTTTCGACTTTCACACGAAAACACAAAGCAACTTTCTCAGAAATGATTTCCAGGCTGATTTTGTTTTAGCGGAAATTTATATTTCGCATGAGTTTTATAAAAAAATGGCAATTTCCCGGGAAACCGAATCGGGTAAATGTGATTTTGGTAAGTTTTCCAGGAAAGGTTTCCCGGAATATCACCGGTCGGAAACACTAGTTCTGAGGAAATTCAAAAGATACACTGTTCAACCATTTGTTTTTTTTTGTAGGCAAAGTTGCATTTTATCGCAAATCTATTCAAGTTCTTGAATCCGTCAGGAAACATTTGGATCGATACATGGTTCCGGAGTTATTCCGGGTTTCGTTGGGGTCACCCTGGGTCGGCATTCGGCTTAACTGTTCTGACGTAATTATACACACAGTGAGCATAATATTTTCTCACTAAAATGATGTAATTTTACCAATTACGGCTATACCGATGGTCCATGGAC